GTCTTTCCTGGCAGTTTTCATTTTTGGTTTTCATGTTTCCTTATAAATTGTTCTTGATTCAAAATAGAGTAAGAAACTCATGAAGAATATATCTGCAAAATATCAGTATCAAAATTGGTTCGACCATTAAACAGTGACCATGGAACAAAGATATATGCGAGACAAACCTCTTAGTAAAACACATATAGGTACAGTGTCTAATGTACAATGTGAAAAGCCGAAAATCTCAAGGACATCTTAGGGGAAAGCTGTTATTCACAACACTCATCTCATTCTTAACCGACTTAAAGATATTACATTAATTGTAAATACCTAACTTTTGTAAATTACTATTTCAAACCGCTAATAACCTTGAAGATTGATACGGGTATTTTTTAGATAAAAAAAAATCAAAGTCAATTCCACACCAGTTTTACTCATCTATTTACATAAAAAACTAATTAAAACATTAAAAATTTTAGGATGAATGATATCCACCAAATCTCATAATTCACAGTTTTGGTAACATATACTTTTTTAATAGGTACTTTGTCCTCGATACACAACAATTTTTCATTGACACCTGTAATTTCATTTCGTGACTTTTGTTTCTTCATGCTTTTATCTATAGTAATAATAATAATAATGGGCATCGTGAAATATTTCCTTTTGTAGCTATAAACACTGTTTTATTACGCGATTTGAAGAAAAATCTTTATGGGTGGGTTTTTACATCAATTAAAATATGTTTTAACAAAACACGTTGATTGGAAACCAATTGTTCGTGAGTAATAGAGTAAAATTAAACATTTATAAATACTCGTATGGTAAAATTGAGCGGAAGGTAATGCATTACTGCAAAACAGCAGAATAAATTTAGAAGGGGAACAGAAAACATAGAAGAATTGGCGTTCTAACTTTGACAATTGATAACAGTCATCTTATTGAAGCTACATCTGTCAAATTAGTAGTCATTTCTTCAGTCTGCTTTGCCAAATCACCATGGACGGATATAGCATTCAACAACACGTGCAAATAATAAAATTGTTAAATCAAAATGGGTGTTCTGTTCGGGCAACGTACCGCGCGCTTCGCCCATTTACGGTCGCCATAATCGAGAAGACTATTCGCAATGTGGTCAATAAATTCGTGTTCACTGGTTCAGTAAATGACCGGCCAACACCCGTACGTCAACGAAACGCAAGATCTGCCGAAAACATTGCCGCGGTCTGTGAGATTGTGCAGGAGAATCCGAGGCAGCCGATTTCACGTCGCTCACAAGAACTCGGCCTTTCTCAGACCACAACTTGGCGAATTTTGCGTCGTAACTACGGAACTGAATGTAAACGACTATAGACACCGACGTGTGTTCGCTAAATGGACTCTGGAGCAGTTGGCAACTGTCCATTATTTTCATCGATAAATCATATTCATCGATGAGGCCCATTTCTGGGCCTCAAATATCTGATATTTGTAGAGTAGAACATGATATTTGTAGAACAGAGTTTTAATATTTACTCAAAATCATATGTGATGTATTTGATTCCACCGATTTGATTAGGACAGTGACAGTGTGATAATGATGTATAGATACGCAACCTAACTGCTAATTTCATGGCTGCCAGTTATATCGCTGTTGAGAAAAAGTGTTTCGTCGCCGTACAACCCTGTTTTGTCGACCATCAATTTTTCCTTCCTCTTATCGGTTTGAAGAAAATAACCAATAAAAAATGTGTTTCATAAATCGTACACGTAAACAAATTGAGTCATCTTCCAGTGGGTTACGTAAATGGAGATTCTTGAGGGACAGAAGAATCGCGACGTAGGATGACAACCGCAATTGAGGAGTTTATTCAATTTGAACCGTCGCGTCGAGCAAGCCACGTAATTATCGTGGGAGTAGATATTATATTATTCAGAGAGTTTACAATTGTAGCGAGGCAGTACATCCGCGAATGTTAATTATATTTACGGGGAATTTCAATCACGATTCTGTTGCATTGTTCAACGCGATTTGATCATTTGGAATGATAAGTAACAGAAGGTGGAAAGGTAATTCCCTAGGAGTATTGGAAACTACTGCTTCATTTATACAGGGTTGTTCACGTATTTGGTATATGAGAACTGCGACCTTTTATTTCAAAATATTTCAAATTGACCTTATTAAGTGATGCGACCCCATGGTTGCCAACTGCGGTAAAATAATGACATTTGACACAAATAAAGAGATTTCCAGTCGTCTATATGGAGTTGGGGCTCCAAAATGAAGAATCAGCTATGAAGAAAAATAGGATTGTCTATCCCAATTATGTCTCAAAAATGTAAAGGCAGAAGGAACTCAGAAAGATAGGTTATTTATTCATTAGCAAATGTCAAATGTCATTATTTTACCGCAGTTGGCAACCATGGGGTTGCATCACTTAATAAGGTCAATTGGACCAGTATTTTGTCACAGCCTTGGTAATCTGAGTGGGACCACTGCCGTAAGGTGGCGCAACAGACAACGCAAAACTAAGGGAAAAGAAATAAATGTGGTGAAGTCTATTTTCTTCAGCAGCGAAAATGTAGTTTTCATTTCAAACATTTCAAACATTTCAAATATTGTATGCTTTGATATGACAACTCTCAAAAAAAAATTTATAGTTGTATGTCTACGGCGAGTAATAAAAATATGGAACACTGACATGGATAGGTAATCAAAAGATTTTTTTTGGTTGAATACCCAAAATATTTTTACTTTTGAATTTACATTATAATTTTCAATACTTTCTATAAAGAGCACTTTTTAATGACTCGCATTCCTGCATAGCTTACCTGATCTGAAATAAGTACTTTTAATTTTCACTGGAAAATAGGATGATGTAATGGTTAGATCCAATCTAATAGTGCTTTGATCAGGCATTTCATTACCTGAAGAAAATGAAATAATAACGAAGCTCTTGTGTCTCAGTTAGTGTTTTTATTAGTAAATTATGCTTAGTGTGTGAATTTAAATGGCTACTTCAGTTTTTCTCCCCAGTAAAACGAATAAGCAAATATGCTTTTTTTGTTAACGCAAAAATTATTATTTTTAATGTATATGACGCTCTCATACACCAGAATCCTTCGTATATTGTTAATACTCTGGTTGAATGATGGGAGTTTCAAAATTATCAATGCATAAATTCGAGAATGAGAGAAAACATGAAGCTGTGTAATCGAGAAAACCATCTTCAGGAAGAGAAATTGTATATGTTAACGAAAACTTGGAATTAGAACAATGCCTTCGAAATATAATGGTTTAAGTTAGGTTTTGTTGAGTTATGTTATGTTAGGTTAGTTTAGGTTCGGTTAGTTTAGGTTAGATTAGACAGAAAAATGAAATGTCTCCAATGAGAGGCAGAAGGAAATTGTGGAAAACTTTGAAGGAATCAAATTTCAGCTGGGAAAAACAAAATAGAAAATCGCTCTCATTTAAAAAATGATGAAATCATTTGCTGGAGAACATTACCAAGGCAAATAAGAGAGTTTCGACTTGCGAACAAAAATATTTATTACCTAGACAAAACTTGGCTTAACGAAGGACTTACCATATGGTACTTATAACGAAACATGTGGTATTTTTGAAAATGAGGTTTGTGAAGATCAAATCGTTAGGTGTAGTTTATGAAATTATAGACTCCTGATTTTTCTATCTTGCCCACTTTATCTTTGGCATTGAAAAGGAAATTATATAACCTAGCATATGGCCTGAATGACTTAGTCCACTTTCACATATTTATGAACAGCTTGGAGACCACTATAGTAAATTCCGACTTAAATAAAAAACACACTCATTTTTTATATAGATATATAGACGATATTCTTGCCTGTTTCAGAGGTACTACATGACAGCTGAACCAATTTATGACATTAATAAATAATCTAAATAGAAACATACAGTTCACATTCGAAACAAAGATAGAGAGACAGATTAATTTCTTAGAATTTATTATCACACATACTCACAATAAATTTGAGTTCAATGTGTTCAGAAAACCGAGATATACCTACACTATACACACAATCTCAAGTTTCCATAAATTAGCAGCCTAAAATTCAGTGTTACACAATGTTACCTTTGTCTGCTTACAATCTGGATAGGGAAATCAAAACAATAACGGTTTCGAAGCAAACACATTCCAGAAGTTAGTCAAGAAACAAAGCCTCAAATCAATGTAGGTACAGATTAATATATCCTCAGATCGAATAATCAGAAATCAAGAAATTTGTAACTTTTGGTAAAGAAACAGAGACAACTGCGGGATTTTTCAGAAAAATAAAACAATGTGGAAGTGGCATTCAGGCCGCATGTCAGGTTATCTAATTTCCTTTTAAATGTCAAAGATAAAGTGGACAAGATGGAGGTTATGAGCTTAAGTATCCGGAGTGTAACAGTGTTTATGTGGGACAATGTGGTCGAAATTTCTGAAAACGGTATGCTGAAAATGAAAGCTCCTTCAATCATGGCAAAAATAATTCGACGTTTTCAAACCACTCCTTGGAATGCAACCACAAGTTCCCGAATCTAAACGATACGGAAATTTTGCACTATGCGGGCAAGAGTTGGAAACTCAATTGTTTGGAATCCTTGGAAATTCACAAACATAAGCATTGCGGATATAACCTACTAAATGACCCAATTGACCTGGTATATACGCCTCTTTTCAGAATAGCGACCCACATAGAAGTCGAAATACAACACTAATAATAATAATAATCGCCTTTATTTCTGACATAAATTGTACACTTCATATTTTGACCATGAGCTAAGGGCGGAGTTAATTTCATTTGGAGACAAGACCTCCACTGAAATGTTCTTCCACTCAACGGCTTTCAAAGTACGAATTATCATGTAATTCACCCTTAAGAATCTCACTTTCATTCGTTAGAACGCCGTGATAATCACAAAGTAATTGGCAGCGTTGGCAACTCTGCAATCAAAAACAAAACAAAATACTAGCAAGAACCGCGCTGCCCGTAAATCTGCATAATCGCTTCTTCTCGAGTTAAGCCACTAGCATGACAGTAGAGAGTCTGCAGCCTTCAATCCGCTGCATTTCATACGCGTCCTTGACGGTCTACAACGAAAGCGGACATCGAAAATGTCGAAACGATCGCCGACCCTTCTGCTGTTCTTAACTCCGATCCGCTCAGTTCGCGCTGGATAGTGTGCTTCGGACGTACGTGCGTTCGAATATGTAAGTATCGCAGTAGCGCTTCTTTTGTTTTGGTTTGTTTCCGCGAAGTGGTCGAGGGGATATTTTGAGGATTCTTGCCGTTCGTTTTGAGGTTATGCTTGCCGGTGTTGCTTAAAGGTAGGTGTCCCTTGGATATAACTGATTTTCGATTGGTCGTTGTGATAAAAATTTAATTAGGAAAGTTAGTGCAACTCTCTGATTTTGCGAAATAAGTTCAACATGGGTTCAATTTTAATTTTATTCGAAATTAATTGAAGTTCATGAGCTTAATATCCTTTATTCGAGTAAATATTTATTTCTCCGGCCCGCTCTAGTTTTTGAAAAATTTGCAAATATAGGGTTCACGAATCTAATGTCAAAACTTGGTGTTCCCGTCTTCTTTTGTAGATATCGTCATTTTCAGGAATTCGCTTGATGAATCAGTACATATTATAACGCAAAGTTCCTCGCCGCATCAGTCTCTCTGAACACGATAAACTCGAAAAGTAAAGAAAGGATTTTCATAAGTATTTCACCAACGTGCAGAAGAGGAGGGTTTTGGTATGATTCATTAACATTCTGTTTGAAATGTGAGATATTATAAAACAAGCCAGTATAGTCGAAGTAACCTGTATTGTTAATAGTTAAAGCTATCGGCATCTCAAAGGCCAAAAAAACAATTCAGAGAAAAAATGCCGCGGCCAACTAGTCCACGTGGACTTGAGAATTGGCGTTTCGTATTGGATAATTTTTACTAACCGAGTTTTATGATTGGCTGAAGAGTCATAAAATTAAATTTGAAGTCATGTTACGGTGACGAATAGAATGTGGGGATGAGTATCGCCATTGTGTCGTTAATTTTCAGTTCAGAAACTGATCGCGATTTGGGTGTTGAAATTCGATATTGGTGCAGTTATAATTACCTAAAATTTTTGTTTTCTGTTTAAAATGTGGCGTCCTTAGACGAGTACTAATAATAATAACGAGTGTGATAACAACGCAGACTTTTCCTGTGTAGTGATTCCAATAGCGATGGTGAACAATGCGAAAAAAAAATACCAGTGAATAGGATTCTGATGCATTTGAATATTGAAATACAGAGAGTTTGTTTCAATGTATAGAAGAATCCACATCTCAAGTTTGGTTTCGAGGGAACCAAACTTACAAGCAACATCAGATTTGACCGAAATTTCTTTCTCAACTGTACGTAAAATAGTCGAAAACAAACCTAATGATCGCAAGACGCGATGTGATGCGGGATTACCAAAACCTTTGGATGTTCATGTAATAAAATCATTGAATAAAACAATATACGACTGTTACAAAAGCAATGAGATTCCTACAACTGAAATCATAAGGAAGAAAGTGATTGCTACCGGCCATAACGTGAGCTGCTGTGACAAAACTTTTCAGAATTGGATAAAGAAACTAGGATTTAGATTTGAAATAATGAACAAACGTCAAGCAGTTATGGAAAGCAGAAGAATAGTGGAATTGCGTAACAAGTACCTAGAACAAATAACTAAATATAGACAAGAACAACGGTAAATTTTCTATTTGGACGAAACTTGGTATGACACTCACGACACAGTCACGAAAGGCTGGGCTGATGGTTCGAGAATGTGTACGCCTAACATGCCTGCAAACAAGAGATCGCGACTAATCATTGTTCATTGAGGAGGAAGTAAAGGATGGGTTCCGAATTCTTTGAAATTATGTGGAAAAAAACTTGAGGAGTGCCTAGAAGATGACAGTACTACCAACTGTCGAAAGCGCTCGCAGATAATTAATACAAGATATAAAGCTTCAAATCCTTTTTGTAAAATTTAAGAAAATTAGTTAGCTCTCTAAATATATTATTAAAGGGGAGCTGTTGGAAAGTAGGTTGCACTATATCGTTTACTTGAACTATACATGTTGTTATCATTATTAATTTTTTTTGTAACACAAAATCGCCGAATACGCAAAAAACACTTTTATGCCTCTCACCATCAATATAAACAACTTAAACTGCGAAAACAGGTTCAAGACGAGTGAACCAACAAATAAAATTAAAAAATCGCGAATCGAAATAACGTAGCCCGCGAAATTTGAAAAGTCATCTTATTTTTGCAACAGCCCACGTATATAATTCATTTTCAGTAATAGGTATCGAAAAACAAAAAGAAAGAGAATGCCCTCCTTTAAGAACGTTAACACATCTTCTATAAACGAGAAGTACACTGATCGAGTAGTAAATATTGTTGTTTTCGATTCGAATCGAGTAATTTACAGTTTATTTTATTTTTATTGCGAGCTAATTGGTGTTTAATGAACGGCAAATTCAATATATCATGTGATATACAAAGTAGTCTGAAGTAAACATTTCTCACAATTCCAGTTACTTTGAAAGAAAAATCACTGTGGCGTGGGAAAAAATAATGATTAGGTGCGCGATAATGAAAATATCAGTTATCTTGGATGTGTCGCTTGAAGGTTTATGACAAAACACAAGCACTACAGGAACATCCTCGCTAATATTAGTGGCTACTCTTCCTGACGTGGACCTTGCCAAGATGACAAGGTAATCTGCATGTATGGAGTTGATGTATCTCTGAGTTCCAAGACATTGGTTTCTATATACCTTCTTGAGATTACACAAATATCGATGATGTTTTTTTCGGAGATAAACGTAGGGAAAAACGTGTATTGTAATACGTAGCTGAATTTGTCAACAATTGATACATACATCGATGGAAAAAAACTCGAAATCCGTATTTAAAACATTTAAATTTGATGAAGAAATCTGATGAACAAAACGTCGCATTGCAAATTAGTTTATATCAGATTATAACAAATATGAAACAGTGTTGAAAGTATAGAAATTGATGAGTAAATGGATATATTTTGAGATAAATTAAAATTCACCTTATTTTTTGAACGTACATATTTCCAAAATAACTTTGAGCAAGACACGGAGTGGTACTTGGGCAATGCGGAATTCCTAATCGATTTCTTCTTCTAACAATATTTGACGATAATCAAGTACGAGGAACTCGGTTATCTGCTTACAAAATGGTTAGAAATAAAAAAAAGTACCGATAATTTCATGTTCATAAATTCATCGATACTGACAACTCACTAGAAAAATAACGATATGAAATGTCGTCATGAAATAGTCGTCAGTAGTTGTGAGAAAACAGAGGATGATATTATTATTTTTTTGTAAGTAAATACGGAGATAAACTTATTCAAAATAGAATTTATAAGCATTCTGGTTAGACTCATCAACTGATATATTTTTATTTATAACGTTTAAAAAAAACCGTGAATGTGAGATTTCCACATGAAATTTTACAAAATTTTCAAGTGTAATACTCACATTAAAGTGTGTTTTTTGAATTCGTTTAATGTATTTTCATCGACTATCGGTCAGTTTTAATATATATTTATTCATAAATAAATCTTTCCTTTTGGGTCAAGAGAGTAATTAGTAACAATAACTCAATTTTTATCATTTCTCATCAATGGTTACGAGTCTGGAACATATCTAGCTACTTCGGGTGTTCCTCAGGGCTCCAACCTAGGTCCTCTTCTGTTTTTCCTGACTATTGATGATTCATGGGAAATTTCATAAGCTACACCTCACGTTTCGAGACGTTTTTCCTATTGATAAGTTGAATAATTAAAATCAAAATTATAGAGCTTTAACGTATTTTGGAGAAACAAACGAAGAGTGGTTTCATTCTTGAGGAAACGAGATATTAAAATTGCATATAGAACAAGTGATACGTTGGGAAAGTTAGTTAAAAATAATAAAGACAAAATATCCAGATTCGAGAAATCAGGAGTATATAAATTAAAGTGTAGAACGTGTTCTAATTTATACAGCGTGACTCACGGTCGATGGCAGGTTAGACGTTTCTGAAAAACGCAAAGCATGATTTTTCTGAAAATTTCACCTCTTACATTTCTTTACCTGTTCTATCGATCTAAAATATTTTCAACATTGCGGCAATGCCACTTCCATCAAAAAGTCCTAGCAACTTTATTTTTTTTAATGGAACATCCCGTATATTAATACATTTTTGGAATCGCTCTAGTATTTCAATACTTTTTTGTTGATAATGTCCTATACCTATCTCTATCTGTTTTCGAGATAAACAATAAATTGTGCTAAATATGGTCCAAAACATAGCCTTAATTGAAATTAAGTACATCAGTACTCTCAATTCATGAAAAGTTGATATTTTGATGATGGTTTGGACGAACTCGAAATATTCAAATAACACCAAGAAATCGGCTCCATATCATACAGGGCGTGCTAGAATTACTATTATTTCCATTGTGCATAAAAGTAGTCGAAAGTTCATTTTTTCAAATGAAACCCCCGTATATTACTCGGTAAATTGAAAGATGGTGAAAAATGCTTCAAGATGATATATCATGTCTCTATACCTAAATCGTCAAGTTTTCTCAATAATGTCGTTTCTTCTAGAAACATTTTTTTATTCGTCGCTCCAAATTATTTTTGACAAAAATTCCCGATCTTCCTGTGTATGAATCAAAAGGGATTCACAAAAATGCATTCTACGTTCGAAGTCTTCTGCTTTTAGAGTTTGAACTTTGTTGATTTTATACGGATGCATTCCGTGATTTTTCAAAATTTGTTGTACTGAAGTGTGATACACCTGAATCTTTTTCTGCACTGCGAATGGAAGCTTCTGGATATGTATAAAATAATGCCAAAACGTTTGTCAGTATTGTCCTCATTTGAAGTAACAGGTTTTGGTAATGTTGAAGGCGCTTTTAACATGCAGCCATAGTTGAGGAAATTATTTTATAATCTTATAGACTTCCTCTCGTTCATTGGTGTTAATTCAGGATACATTTGGTTGAATTCTCTACAAGTTTTGACAATTATTTGATCACACTGTCCGTGTATAATAAATAATTTCATAAGAACTTTGTTTGAGTAATCAATATTTGCATTCATTTTTGGCGATTTTTTGAAACGCCGTCAATAACCATTTATCAATTACTTATAAAAGTCACCAAATCAAATTCTTTAAAAATTATTTTTTGTATAACTGTTATTGAAAATCTCTTTGATAGAAACGCTTCAATCAGAACACCTATCAAAAAATCACTTACAAAAG